GCAGCAGCAGGAGTAGCTGGCGTGGGTAGGGAGGTGGGGCGTTTCTGCTTTGCCTTCGATCGGCATTTGCTGCTGCATGCGCAGCCGCAGCAGCTGCTGCTGCTGCTGAGGTGTATAGACACCCCAGCAGATATAGAAGAAGAGACGCTGCAGCACATGATGAGGTAACGCCTTCTTGCTGCTGCTGCTGCTGCTGCTGCTGCTGCTGCTGCACCTGCTGCTGCTGCTGCTGCTTTCGTTACTAGCAGCCTTGCTGCTGTTGCTGCTGCTGCTGTTCCTTTTGTGTGTGAATACCTGTCTCTGCTGCTGCTGCTGGAGAGCTCGTTAGTCGCCGTTTTTGCTGCTGCTGCTGCTGCTGCTGCTGCTGCTACCGCCATTGCTGCTGTTGCTGCTGCTGCTGCTGCTGCTGCTGTGCTGCAGGCGGCTGCACTGCTTTGCTGCTCTGGGTTTGTTGTCTGCTGCTGAGGAGACAGAGACGCTTCGGGTGTATGCGCAGCTCGGGCTAAGACACACCACCTTTTGCCGCCACATGCTGCTGCGGCTGCAGCAGCAGCAGCAGCAGCAGCAGCAGCAGGGGCTGATAAAGGCAGACGTGCTGCAGCAGCAACGCATGCAGCAGCGTATTCTGCTGCTGCACTTCCTGCAGCAGCTGCAGCTGCAGCACAGACAGACGCTAGCAGCAAAACCCGAGCTAATGAAGCAGCTGCTGCATGCGCAGCGCTCGCTGCTGCTGCAGCCCTGTGGCCCGCAGCAGCAGCAGCAGCAGCAACAGCAGCAGCAGCAGCAGCAGCAGCAGCAGCAGCTAAACACAGCTGAAGACTTCTTAGATGAAGCCGCTCGTCTGGCGGAGACAGTCTCTCCGCAGCAGCGGCAGCAAATTTTGTCGTTGCATGCAGCTTCCTGCAGCAGCAGCAGCAGCAGCAGCAGCAGCAGCAGCAGGGGAGGACTGCAGCGGGAGCTGTACAGACACCGCAGCTATTCTATGGGTTTCGGGGTCCCCACAGACAGCAGCTTCTCTCGCTGCTGCAGCAGCGTGCTGCCGTTTGTCTCTCTTCCTGCTTATGAGGCTATACACACGACAGGGTTTGCTGCTTCTGCTGCTGCTGCTGCTGCTGCACCTGCTGCAGAGGATCCAGCAGCAACTGCTGCTGCTGTTGCTGCAGCAGCAGCAGCAGGAGAATGCTTCGATAGACAGCTGCAGCAGCAGGGGCCCCCAGAAGCAGCAGAACTCACCACTGGTCAGGCCCTAATGGTATTAGATGCTTTGCTGCAGGTAACTGCTGCTGCTGCTGCTGTTGCTGCTGTTGCTGCTGCTGCTGCTGCTGCTGCTGTTACTGCTGCTGCTGCTGCTGCTGCTGCTGCGTTCGCCCCGGACAAGTACTGTCTTTGCTGCTCCTGCTGTGATGCATACACTCCAATTTTGCTGCTGCTGCTGCTGCTTGTGCTGCTGCTGCTGCTGCTGCTGCTGCTGTGGTTTGCTGCTGCAGCTGAAGTATCACCTGTCTTGGCCTGAGGTCCCTGCTGCTGCTGCGCTGCTGCTGCAGCGGCTCAGCAGCAGCAAAGAAGCAATCGAGCAGCTAGACCCCCGGCAGGTGACGCAGCAAATGAATCTAACTGTCTCCTTTTTTCTCTCTGTCTCCTTTTTTTTCTCTCTGTCTCTTTTTTTCTTCTGTCTCTGTCTCCTTTTTCTTCTGTCTCTGTCTCCTTTTTTCTCTCTGTCTCTTTTTTTCTTTTGTCTCTGTCTCCTTTTGTTTTTTCTTTCTGTCTCCTTTTTTATTCTGTCTCTGTCCCCTTTTTCTTCTCTCTCTGTCTCCTTTTTTCTCTCTGCCTCCTTTTTTTCTCTCTGTCTCCTTTTTTCTTTGTCTTCTGTCTCCTTTTGTCTTTGTTTTCTGTCTCCTTTCGTCCTTGTTTTCTGTCTCCTTTTTTCTTTGTCTTCTGTCTCCTTTTCCCTCTGTATCTGTCTCCTTTTGTTTTTTCTCTGTCTCCTTCTTTTCTTCTGTCTCTGTCTCTTTCTGTGTCTTATGTCTCCTCTGTTTGTTGTTTTTGTTTATCTTTATTTGTTTGTCTCCTTTTGTTTCTGTCTCTTTTGTTTATTGTTGTTTGTGTCTGTCTCCTTCTGTCTCCTTCTGTCTCCTCTCTGTCTCCTTCTGTCTCCTCCTGTATCCTTCTGTCTCCTTCTGTCTCCTTTTGTCTCCTTGCATATCATTTGTCTCTTTTGTATCTCCCTTTGTCTCCTTTTTATCTCGTTTTGTCTCCTTTTGTCTCTTTCTGTCTCTTTATGTCTCCTTATGTCCCTTTCTGTCTCCTTCTGTCTCCTCTTTGTCTCCTTCTATCTCCTTCTGTCTCTTTCTGTCTCCTTTTTATCTCCTTTTGTCTCCTTTTCTCTTTCTTTGTCTCTGCAGGTGGTGGCTGTCTCCGTTTTGTGTGGGGAGCTGAGGAGACAGCTGACCATACCCCCCGGCTTGCTGCACGCAATAACCACCAGGTTTGTCTCCTTTGTCTCCTTTTGTCTCCTTTTGTCTCCTTTTGTCTCCTTTTGTCTCCTTTTGTCTCCTCTTTGTCTCCTGTCTCCTTGTGTCACCTGCTGTCTCCTCCTGTCTCCTTTTGTCTCCTCTTTATCTGTCTCCTTTCGCCTCCTTTTGTCTCCTTTGTCTCCTCTTTATCTGTCTCCTTTTGTCTCCTTTTGTCTCATCTCTCTCCTCTGTCTCGTTTTGTCTCCTGCTGTCTCCTTCTGTCTCCTTCTGTCTCCTTCTGTCTGCTCTTTATCTCCTTCTGTCTCCATCTGTCTCCTTTTGTTTCCTGTCTCCTGTCTCCTTTTGTCTCCTTTTGTCTCCTCTTTATCCCCTTTTTCTCTCCTTCTGTCTCCTTCTGTCTCCTTTTGTTTCCTTCTGTCTCCTTTTGTCTCCTTCTGTCTCCTTTTGTCTCCTCTTTATCTCCTTCTGTCTCCTTTTGTTTCCTTCTGTCTCCTTTTGTCTCATTGCTGCTGCTGCTGCTGCTGCTGCTGCTGGCTCAGGTTTACCGGCGACATGTGCAGCAGTATGCTGTCTCCTTCTGCTGTCTCTCTTTTTCTTCGTTCTTTAGTGCATGCAATATCTTATAAAACAACAGAAAGAGGAAATAAAACTTTTATTAAAATCAGAAAAATACAGCAGCAACAAATACCATGGTTTATCAATTCTCCTGCTGCTGCTGCTGCTGCTACTGCTGCTGCTGCTGCTGAGACTCCTGCTGCTGCTGATGCTGCAAATTCTGCAACAAAAACTGCAGCAGCAGGAACAGCAGCAACAGCAGCAGCAGCAGCAGCAGACAAAGATTCACTCGCGCTGCAAATTGCATCCTACATATGCGCACATGTCTATGAGTAAGCGCAGCAGCAGCAGCAGCAGCAGCAGCAGCAGCAGCAGCAGCAGCAGCAGCAAAAGCAGTATCAGCAGCAGCAACAGTATCAGCAGCAACAGCAGCAACACCAATACCAACAGCATCAGCAGCATCAGCATCAGCAGGATCGATACATTGCCCGCACAAACTCCCTATCATCGCCAATCCAAGTGTTAGGGTTTAGGGTTTAGGGTTTAGGGTTTACGAGGGTTTGTGTTTTCTTAGGTTTGAGTTAAAGGACTTGTGCTGCTGCATGCGTTCTCTGGCGTATTTGGGGCTGGCAGAGGAGACATATTTTCTCGCTTTTGTTCCTTTTCTATCCCGCCGTATTATACACCTCAATAAACAAGATGTTATCAATGTTACACAGGTTTGCTGCTGCTGCTGCTGCTGCTGCTGCTGCTGCTGCTGCTGATGATGATGATGATGATGATGCTGCTGCTGCTCCTGCTGCTGCTGCTGCTGCTGCTGCTGCTGCTGCTGCTGATGATGATGATGATGCTGCTGCTGCTGCTGCT